TTGGTATCCGCTCTCAGCATATACTCATATGTGTCACAGCCGCTTCATGTCTCGCTTCGTGTGCGTGTGTGTATATTGCACGGCTGGTATTCCATTCGTGTAATTTCCCATGGTATTTTTACGCATCTGAACATTTGAGTGCATCTGTTCGCGCTCAACCCCCTCTCCAAACACACACACATACGATTTCCTAACCCCAGCCCTATTCCCAGGCTGTCTCCTTCAGTTGCCGCGACAATTTGCGACTCGCTCAACTCCTTTTCATTCGCCTGCTGGCTATGAAATCAACAACTTGTCTCTTTCGTCTCTCTGGTGTCCCCTTTTTCTACCCATCTGCAGCGCTCATCTTAAATGTAATAACCTGTAAAGATGCGTGTACACCAGCTCTTCAAATCTCCCACGCACATATGCTGATTGTTTCAGTGTGCATTACTCAACAGTGTTGCGGCAGCAAGAGGAAAGCTAACTTGTTGAGGAAATAAAAGAAAAATCGCTCAAATTCTAGCTGAAGTACAGCACATTGAAAATGTATCTAGTTTATATATTATATTAAAATTTGATGTAGAATAAACGTCAAATGTTTACCCACACGGCTTGAAATTGGAATTATATTTTATAATTATATATTAGCTGCTAAGATATATATTATGCATCGACTTTACATATCGATAATTTGCTATCGATCAATGCAAGCCTCACTGAACTCCTTCTAACATTGTTAACTTATAAAAGTTAAAAAAAAATACAGCAACATTTTCATGCTCTTTTTATACTTTTGCCCAGATTTGGCTATAAAAAAAGGCGAATTGGCAATACGGTTTATGAGCAGCATTTGCATAAGATGGTTATGTCAGTCGACTTTGTGACAGCAATCGCTGTGGCATTCACTGTCTCAATCGCAGCCAGCGTCTTCGGCTGTCCCACTTAAAATGTCAATCATGGATTCAGTCGCACAGAAATCCGTTTTCCGCTTGTCATTTGTGATTGGATTCAACGGCGGCGGTGTCTACATGCGCCGGCAGCGTGGAGTTCAGTTTGAAATCGCTTAACGCTTGTTGTCTAATAACCAATTAGAACACCTTTTGCAACAGATTTCATTCGGTAATCTTGAACACGCTTTCAAGACACCTCCGGCCGCGCTTGCCTCCCCCAATTAAAAGTGCGAATTGTGAACGTGTGTTGAAAATTGTTGAAGCGCAAAATGCGCTGAATGTTTTTACGCCTGATTAGGCCCAGAACTTGGGCCGGGTGGATTTTTAAGCAGAGTTGGCATTTAGTCGAGAAATATCCAAAACCAAATATATGAGCAGATACACACATATATATGTATGAACATATATATCTATGTACATGCACCCATTATAAATTTTGTCATTTGTCGCAGCAGCCACAAATGAAAAGTCGATGGCAAACTTTTTAGCAACATTTTCTCATTTTCCAAAATATTTTCTGCCCATTTGTCGACGTCTACAGTTTGTTTTTTTCTGTTACATTTTTTGTGTGTTGTTGCTGCTTCTTCTGGCTGAACTCTCTTCTTCTTTTGAATTACTGGCAATGCAATGGCAGGCAAATTTATTGGCAAATTGGGAGCACAGTGCTTTTTCCTTCGATGCTCCACTCAGTGGGTGGCCCGAAACCAAAAGGCAAAGCGAAATTGTTGCTCCTCAAGCAGTAGAACTAATGTGCATGTGTGTGTGTGTGTGTGCATGGGGATGTGTGTGAAAAGCACTTGAGTGTATTTTTTACAGCTTCTCATGCTCTTGCTGTAGCTAAGTATTTTAAGTTTGTTACAAAGCGTGTAACACTATTGACTTTTTGTGTCTAAGTTCATATATTAACTCTGATCAGAAAGGTGTTTAAGGATTTGGGGTAGTCACAGCAGCTGCTGCAGGACGTGATAGGTGACACTTTTTATATCCATGAAATAAATAAGTATAATGCTCATAAATACATTAACCTAAAATGTATAAATAAATAATAATTTACTATATAATAATGTAGATTATTATAGATATATATCTTAAGAAGCAGTACAAATAATAATTTATATATAAATAAATATATTGCAGCAGTCCTCACAGTTCTCTGCTCTCAGATCTCTAACAAGTTGACAAGATCATAATACTATCTGGTGTAGAGTATTTTCCCATTCCACAACTCGTACATTTCGCATTTTTTTGCATGTTGTTTATGTTTTTTTTATTGATTGAAAATAACTTAGTGCCGCTTTATGTGTGTTTCGCTTGTGTTGTGTGCTGGGCATGCGATGGGAGCACGATATAAACTCGACCAGTTTATGCCAAAGGTATGTAAATAAAGTGAAGATACGGCGTGCCACGCCGTCTTTTACTGAAGAAACCTGGGGGAGCTGTAACTGAAACTGCCAACTGGGAGCCGCCATCTGCCCCTGGGCATTGTATGCAGCTTTAATTTATTGAGCGTCTTTCAATAATCCTCAGAGTAATGCGATCGAAATAAAATAAGCCACTAGAGAGACCATAAGTAAGTGTTACTGATTGCCAGGATGAGGAGTAGATCCTGGGCAAATGGTCACCGAGCAGTTCCTAATTAAGTGCGTCGAGCTTGTCCACTTTACATTAATATGCCGCATTTGGAGGTCGCTCCTGCAGTGGACCCATTCAACGAGTAACAATTGTGCTTGTTGACCCTTCGTCTGAAGGGAGGGCGGTGCCAAGTGTAGCGGGGCGTGTCTACCTCATTTGTCACTAGGTCGTTTATAAGGCGACATTTTTATTCATTTGTATTTTTCGGAGGGGGGAGGGCTTGCTCTCTGCATAACTGGACCATATTAATTAGCTTGATTAAAATGAATATTTGCGCAACTTTTTGTCGCTGTCGCCAGCTGTGGTAAAAGGGAAATGCCGCACACAAACACAAACACACACACACACACATATATACACAATAAATAAACACTTCTTGGCTATTGTTCGCAATGTGACAGGCGCTGGCCCAAGGTACTTCATGCTCCATGTACCAATGTTCTGTAATAAACCAAATGTAAGACTTCCCAAACTGCTGAATTTTATTGATGCGGCACACGCGACGTATGCGCAATATGCGGCATAGGAAAACAGCCGGTAAGCGGGTGGGGATGGATGTGGTGGGTGTTCGGGAAGGCGCGCCTGGCTGCGACGTGTCAGCCAGATAAATCTTCATGCCAGTTTCCCAAGCCAAAGCGAGCGAAATGGTGCCATGAAAAATGTCGGGAGCATTCATTCGGGTTGGCTGCGGATGCTGCCGTCAACGCCATCGTCGCCTCCAGAGCCTCCAACCTCGTTGGCCTTCCCATTGCCAGTTGTCGCTGTTTATTTGGACGATTTCGTTTCATGTGCTCTCTTCTTCTTGTTTTTGTTGCTTTCTTTGGTTTTTACGAGCATAAAGATAAATTCACACGATCCGGCCGCGGGAGTTCAAGCTCGACAGCAGGTCGGCCAGGTCAGCACTGCTTCATGCCGTTGGCCTCTACACCGCCATGGTATTTCGTTGATGCGATTTTATTTATTTATTTATAGTAACAAATTGCAATGTCAACTTAATCACCGAACTCTATTAGTTTTCGCTCTTTGTTTCTACTGCTGCAGGCGGGACAATCGCGGCGACAGTGCTGGTAAATGTGCTTTAATTCCTCTGGCACTGATTCTGTTAATGACAACCAGCGGGACTTTAGCTATTTTCCCGCTGCGAATTCGCTTTGTTGAATTAACAATGTTTAAGTTGGGTTTATTGGATTGGAAAGCTAACGGTAAGCAGAAAGTAGAAACAGGTAATACAAAGAACTCTATCTATATATATTTCTATCTATATCTATATCTGTATCTACATCTGTATCTACATCTATATCTATATCTATATCTATATCTATATCTATATCTATATCTATATCTATATCTATATCTATATCTATATCTATATCTATATCTATATCTATATCTATATCTATATCTATATCTCTATCAATATCTATATCTATATCTATATCTATATCTATATCTATATCTATATCTATATCTATATCTATATCTATATCTATATCTATATCTATATCTATATCTATATCTATATCTATATCTATATCTATGTCTGTCAAATTATTTTAGAGTCTTTTAGAGCTGTCATCATTATAGCCTTTTTCCGTCAAATAGTTTTTTTAGCCCCGTCAGCTCTGTTTGGCCTCTAGCTTTGTGCCTAGTGTCTGCTGTTGGATACCAACGCTAGGGTTGGCAGACTTATTTTTCGGCTTTATAGAAAGTCATTTCTCTTTGTTTTCCGTGGCGGGTGGCTGGCTGCTGGCTACAGGCTGCCTTTCTCTATTAGACTACTCACCCGCTTAGCACCACCCAATAAAACAAGTTAATTAATTAATCATTATTTTTTCGGCAGGGCTGTTCTGCTTTTTGTTTATTGACTTTATGCCGCATATCATCGATAGTGGGTGTGTGTGTGTGTGTTAGGTGAAAGGGGAATTTGGGAAAGTTCGGGTTCAAGGATTACAATGCTAAAACTTAGTCACTTATGCTAGGTCCTTTGAGCTGGCTACCAAGTACAACTACCAACTACAGCTACGGCTACAACAGATTTTCATTTATCAATTTCATTATTTATTTATTTTTTTGGCGAGATGTGTCCCATTTTGCTTAAAATTGGGCTCGAATCTCGTTTGCTAATTAATCATCGATTGTTTTTGGACTAAGCCTAAATATTATAGTATTGCTCATGGGATACGGTAGATGGGCACAACCACCACGTCGACGAAAACTTTGTGGCGTATTTTTGTTAGTTTTTCTTTGGCACTAGGAAAACATCTAAATTAGAGAGCAGCTTGAACCAAAACGGAACGGAATGGAAAGTGGAAATGGAAATGGATATGGAATTGGAGTTGCCTTACGATTTGTGCAACTAATGCAGCAAAGTCCTCTACTTAGCCTATGAAGAGCAAAAATTCTAGAATGAGCTTAGGTCGAATCACATTATGGGTTTGAGGAAGAGCACAGTAGTAGGAGGTGGAGGGGGTGGGGTGGGAAGAAATTGTGGAACTCGTGACTAGCTACTTGAGGAAGGATTACGCGTATCGTAACTTATCCTAATGCGTTTGATTGCTTTAAGCCGATGATTGGTCAGTTGTACACGCGCGCGTTACCCTGGCTGATGGAGGACGGGTGGGCGGGCGCGTGTTGAAAATAATTGCTTGGTGTTCACATCTAATTGACAAGGATTGGGCGGAAAATGTTGGGTGGGCGTCACTGTATCGGTGTGTGTGTGTGTGTGTCTCTGTTTGAGTGTGTTTATGTTTCGAACTTACAATATTAATCAAGACCATTTGCTGTTGCCAACGGTGGCGTAGGTTGTGCGTCCTCTTGGGAGTCCAGCGAGAGCCGCGACTTGGCCGCCGTCTCCATGGATTTCCAGGTGCCCCCACTTGTCGCGTGTTGCAGCGATATGCGTGGTATAGACTTGCAGCTGCCGGCCAAGGTAGATGCTTCCGAGCCGACTCGATCCTCGGACTCGGCCAGAGCGCTCAGGCTGCAAGTGGGCGGCAGGATGCGATGTGGAAAACGCGGCGAGCCACGTACTCGTTCCCTCAAACTGGGCGCAGTTGGCTGTATTAGCGATGGGCGTCGACTGTTGGGCAGCTGAAAGTTTACCTTGGTCTCGGGCAGTTTGACGTACTTGCCACCAACAGCGACACTGGACTCCGGCTGCAGATCGAAACTTTCGCCGCAAATAGTCGGAATGGGCAAGAAATTGGGATCTTTGGTCAAATGGTCGAGATGTGTGCCGCTCTTGGTCAGTGAGCCCCGATGAATGGGCTTCAACGTCAGATGTGTGCCATGGTTGCCGCTCTCCACAGCCAAGCTGGTGCCCTCAACGCCCAAGGGATTCGCATTGCTATAGATGGCATTGCAGGACGCGGTCTGCGAGGAAGGTATTAGCCGTGTGAAGAGACCCATATGCGATTTGAAAGCCGCCTTGAGACCCTTCTGATCCGCCAGGCTAGCTGTGGAGCCCTTGTTGCTGCTCGTAGTGCGCGAGAAGATGCCGCGCAAACGATTGATGAGCCCCGTCTTGGCCTCGGTGGCCTGCTGATGGGCTAGACGTAGATTAATCAGATCCTGAGCCGGCAGACAGGCCTCCTCCAACTGCGGCTGCGAGGCAAAGGTCACCGAACGTCGCATCGGTATCTGCATGTACTCCGCCGAGGGCCAGCTGGCGCGTGGTATAACTGGTGGCAAAACGGAGAGCAGCAGATTCGGCAGGATCCCTGAGATGCTGGGCGTGCGAGATTTGCTATTTGTTGAGGCTATCGGCGCTGGCTGAGAGATGTTGCTCGTTACAGTTAGCTCTGGCTTGAGATGCCCATGCCCGGCCAGCAGCGAGGTGGACGAGGAGGTGGTAGTCGAGCCGGTGCCCAGGCCAGACTCCAGCATGCGTTCCAGCTTGCGTATTTCTGCATCGAGCGCTTGAATCTCCTTCTTGTAGACGCGATTCTGGACCTCCACGCGATATTGTAGTTCCCGTCGATCGTCGACAACAAAGCGACGCGTATTGCACTCCATCTTGAGACCCATGCTGTGTATCACCGGATCAATAATATCGTCTGCCAAAGAGAACGTTAGACAAGAGTCACTTAGGCGACTGTCGAGTCGCGCACTTACTGCGTGCCCAAATGTCGTGCAGCTTGGGTATGAAGAGCAGACAGAGCGTGGCTGTTGTCGAGGTTAGGATTAGGGCCGTTATGGTGATAAAGGCGAGCGTAACGCGTTCCGAAATCAAATTGGCCAGAACCACAACAATGGCGCTGGTAATGACAACACTATAGACCGAGACGCCAATGTACTGGGAGTCGTTCAAGGCGGCAATCTTCACGTGGCGCGTCTCCCAGGCCATGTAAACGCCCACTACCAAGAGCAGGCCCTTGTACGCATAGAGCACTCCCAGCCAAGTTTGGGTGTGCTGCGAACGACAAACCTCGACCTAGCGTGGGTATCAAAACACAAAAAAAAAGAAACAGAACGAAAAGGGAGTCGGATTAGCTGGACATAGATGTAGGAGTCAATTTACAAAGCCTGCGCTTGTCAATAGACACCAAAGTGCGAACAAGGTGAAGGTGAAGGCGTAGCAGCTCAACCCACCTGCGGCTGGTAGACAACGCTTCGATCAATGGCGCTGATTTCAAGTGTCAAATTATGCAAATGCCTTTCCATGGGGTCGGCAACGACCCACAGCGTGACGAGCAGGGCATCGACAAGCAACAGGCCGCACACGAGTAGTATTAGCTGAATGTCCTGCAGCATTTTGTCCTTGAATACGCTGCCGGTGCGTGTGAAGATGCGGTGCACCCGATATGTTTTCGCAAACATTGAGCCAAATGCCAATGAGAAGCCAGCCGAGAGCAGATACACGCGTGCCTAGAGTGTGGGGGAAGAGGATAAGCATATAGAGGTATGAGCTGTTGGTCTCATGTTGTGCGTGTGTGTGTGTGTGTATGGGGGTTTGTGTTGCTAAACAAGTCATCAATGGGCAACGTAACAAGTTGAAACAACAACATCAACAGGAGGACTCTAAGGAGGCATTCTCAAATTTATGCAAAATAAAGAATATCACAAAAGTTGTGAATTTGCGTGTCCATGTCCGTGGCATGTGTTTGTTGCTGTTGTTAGCTTGTGCCCCTGCCCCACCGTCTTCATGCTGCCCCTGCTGCCCATACCCGTGGCATTACATGCGCCAACAAACAGCAACAGAGCGAAACAACATGCCCAACATACACTGTGAATTTCCCTCGAGTCGCATTTTTGGCGGTAGGCTGTCGCAAAAAAAAAACACAATGCGGAAAAGTATCAAAAAAAAAAAGAAAAAAAAACCAGGCGATGACAAGCGCATCAAATTGGACTTTCTGTTCGTGGGAGAGCCGCTCGTCTAGCTCCAAGTACGTCCCGCTGAAGATTTATTATGTTTGGCTAAAAGATTTGCCTTTAAAATTGCAGCTATTTATGGCGCACATACTTTCTGCAATCTGACAATCCAACAATCCCTCAACTCAACAACTTTCATAAAGAAAACAAACAAATTCGCCAGGGACAACATTTTTGGGCTAAGAAATACCCTATTAAAGACTGCTGAGCATCGCATGAATACATAATAACTTTGTGTGCCAGGCCGACGTGTTTGTATAGCTCTACTTGTTCCACATCGGATCTGAACACTGGAGCAATTTACGTTCCTCACTCATTCATAGTTAAGCAGCTTCGACTTTGGAGCCGGTGAAGCTCGTTGACTTGAGCAACTCAGTTGGCCTGAACGAGCTCCGAGGAAAGTTAGTCTTAAGAGACAGACTTTACCTGCTCAGAATTTTGGCTTGTTTTGCACTGCAGCTCAATATTGATAAGAGAGCTTTCATACAGCTTCGCAGAGTCTTCGACTTTGGAACTTCACCATGGCCATATGTCATCTAAAATAACTTTTGTAGTTCTTATTTGATTTTGAGTCAGCCTTGTCTGTCTGTTATACCCACATTTGTAAGTCAGTTTTAATGGACTGCTGCGCGCATAACAAACACATGAGAACGACGCGAAAGTTGAGCGCTGAAACTGAAAGTCATATTTGATGAGGCGAAACCCGTTGCCAACTCCCACATGGAGGCCGTGTTGGCGTATTGCTTGCATAACCGAAACTCAAACAAAGGCTCGCGGGCTGAAGACACTCGAGTACTCACCGTGCAAACCGTGGCAAAGGAGTCGGCCGCCGAGGGCAGTGTCGAGTGGTCGAGGCCCAACAGAATGACGGTGGCATAAACGAAAATGCAACCCACAGCGGTAATGTTGCTCAGCTTCGGGCTGGAAAGTTTAATTGCTCTGCGCAGAAGAGATGTCAAGTGAAAAGTGCAGAGTAAGCAACCAGCTGAAGCAGAAGACAGAAGAATTGCGTTTGCTACTCACTTGAGCTTGCGAAAGTGCAGATTGAAGGCGAGGAACGCAATGGCCAGCGCAATGCCCACGCTCGACAGTGTGGCGATGGTGTAAAAGGCCAGCGGTGCAATGGTGGCGACGCGCATCTTGAATACTCTCTTCGCAATTGGCACTTGTCCGCTGTGCCACTTGACCGGACGACAGCGCGGACAACGAAAGTCCAGGGCATCCGTGGCCGGGTAGTAGAGTGCTATCGGTTCGAGTAGGCCACGCTGTATCTGATAGAAGGCCGTGGTGCCAACGCGATCTGGTCCACTAAAGGAGACCGGACCCTGTGAACAATTTGTGAGTGTTTCGTTAGCCTAACTCTGGCCCGCCCGTCTCCTACTTACCGAAACACCTAGAAAGTGTAGCTTGCCTAGCTGCTGTAAGAACTCCCAGGCCATATCGCTGCGCGTGTAGTCGAAGCCGTCCAGCTTCGATTGGGCAGCATTCTGGCGCCAGTGCGTCTCGGCGGCGCGCAAGGCCAGTGCAATCGCCCACACAGCGTCGTAGGTTTGAGGGGCATAACGGGATATCGCATCCGGTAAGTGATGGCTGACAGTGCCACGCCTCTGGCGCGACCGCAAATCCGTTTGTGGTGCACGCTTGCGGCTGCGAGTGTTGCTACTGCTGCCCACGTCCGCTGCGTCCTGCTGATGGAATTGCTCGAACTGTTTGCGCAGCTGCGAGTTGAACATGTGATTGTTCTATGGAAATAAAAATTGCAGTGATTAAATAGACCGCTCATCGCCCAACCTACCCCCGCACCACCACCCTCATATCGTAATGTGATTGCCAGCTCATTATGCGCCGCCGATTTCATGGCCGGCACTAAAAGGATAATAAAAACATTTTTATCATGGCTCTGTGCCTGCGACTCCCAGCAATTCGTTGCCTCTACTCGGCTTCGAATCAAATGTAGCATTTCATTTGAGCTCTGGGAGTTGGGGAACTGGGCTAGAAACGAGCTTGCTTTGAATTGGGCTAGGCTAATGGCTTTTTTTGTTTTGGTTTACGGAAAGCTAGTTAGAAATAGTTGTTGAATTTAAGCAAACCTTAAACTGTGCTCATATCAAAGCTGATTTTTAATTATGTATTCCTTAGATATCAGGTTAGCTCCTGGGCCATTTCGTTTACTTACCAATCCGCTGTAGCTCACATTGTTGCCCACAATGCTGTTGTGTGTGGATACGACAATTAGGTTCTCGACAGCCAGCTGTAGCTCGTGCCGGGTGCAGGGTGTCTGCTGGTCGGTCCACCAGGGTGCGCCCATGCTCTCGTGCAGTATCCAGGCGTAGTCGGCGCCGAACATTCGCAGCCTGTAGGCCTCGCAGAGTATTTGTGGTGCCAGCTCCTGCGAGAAGCTGCCAATAATGATGCGTGTGTCCGTCTCCTTCGAGCAAACAACATATTTTTACCATTAATCACTTTGTTAAATTGCCGCCGACTTACCCTGAGGAGCAGCAGCTGCTCCTTGAAATCGGTCGCTGCAAATGTGATTGTCGCCGCACAGGATATGTTCGCCGCCTCCAGCTCGGTGACGAGATTATTGACCGCCAGCGAGTGCACCTCCTCGTTCTGTGAGAATGTTGTCACAGTGCCCCAGCCGAAGCGACGGATGAACGCAATCCGTGCCGGATTGTGCGACGAGTCCGGCGCTACGGTCCGATAGAAGTATGGAAATTCCCGCCTATCGCTCAGCGCTGGCGATGTTGAACCAAAGGAGACCTGTAATCAAGCGCCGTTAGCAGTCATGCGATTGTTACGTGCCACATGCCAGCTGCCCCACCCCGCCCCGACCGCCGACAAAGTTTTGTGCCACACGCGTGTGTGCGTACCGCAAAGTTTCAGCCCATTTAGTCGCCACACACGCATAAGCTGCGACTCAAGCTGCCACAACTGAACTTCAAAGGCCACGACTCGACATTTGCATGCAGCGCGCTTCTAAGTGAATTTATGTTGCGCCTCCGTCTACCTATTTATAGAGCTCTATCTAACATACAACCTTGTCTACGCATATCTTCTTTAAAAACACTGTCTTACAAAAATTAGTTATTGAATTGGAGTTTCACTTTGGTATACAAATTAAGAATGAGCCAATTTATATTGACTGATACTTGTTATCAGAATAGTAATAGAATTTACTGTTGACTGAGAGTATCTGAGTAATTTGGTAGCATTGTGCAAGGCACAGCGCAATGACAGTGGATGACCCTTGATGCGACTAGTTTGCATAGCAAGAAATATTAGCTGGACATGGGCTACATAGACTTGATTCTCAAGACTCTTTAGGCATATACAATTATATTTTATAAGCTTAAATGCTTTGTCTTTGTCAGTGAACATTATGCGCAGAATTTCCATTTTCAATGTGCTCGGCTTATATGATACGATGCTGCCTTTGGCTCAACTGGATTAGCAGTGCTGGCTTTACAAATATGCAAATAATTTCGTTGCTTTTCTTTTAGCTGTGAATTCTAGGAAAAATTTGTGCTGTCTAGTGTAATTTGTTGGAGGCTGTTTATTTGAGCGCTGAAATGTTTATTGGCTGCCTTTTGAGTTTAGCTCGTGGTATTTATGTTAATCGAGCGAGTTTCCTTTCGGCACGTGAGTTGATTAAATTTTTGAGTAATAGCCCAAGCATATTTGCATATTTTAATCAGCAGACCACCTTTGTAACGCCCACCCGGTTTTAAACTGATTGACTTGAACTTACCTGTACAATGTTCCAGTAGGGCACCACCTTGGCCAGGCTCTCGGTTACCTCCGAGCAGGCGGAGCCCAGCAGCATCATCATGCGTGTCGAGGGCTGTGTGTAGATGGCATGAAAGAAACGATCCACGCCCACGCCGGGATCACACTGCAGTTTGGAGTTGGAGAAGATGAAAAGGTGAGAGCAGCTCGAGACCGGGGCAAGGTGCTGGAGCAACAGCAGCAGGAGTCATAAAAAGGCGCGCGTCAGGATGGCGCAATAAACATTTTTAAAATGTCGACTTTTGACTTTTGATAGGAGATGCCGCCCCCCAGATATGAGGCGCTTTCAGCGGCTCCAAGGCTCGCTCGATGCGTCTCCAAGTGCCATCAAATCGCTGCCCCAACCATTTGACTCAACCAAGGCGCTTATCGCTGCCGCTGCTGCTGCTCGCAATAAAAAACATGTAAAAAATTTTGCATTCGAGTTGCGACTGACTGCGCAATACACTGTTCGATGAATTTAAATTTTGTAGGGCTAATGTGAATGAGAATTTTGAAGATTGACGATTCAGAAGATGCTTGCAAGTGTTCGTAAGCAAATGCTAATGCTCGATGAATGCATTGAACAAAGAGAGGCATTTGGAACCCCTAGTTCATAGTGGTGGAATAAATCAGGCTTATAGAAATATGTGTAAAAGGCAGCTGAAGCGTGGCGGATTTTGGCTTAGGGTAAATGTAAAATTATCTCATATGTAAGTTCACACAAGCCTATTCATTTATGTTAAAGTAGTAACATATTAGAAAGTGAATCTTAAGCTGTTATTCTAGGAACGTAAGGGCTAAAAGTCTTTGGGAAACGGCAGCTTAGAACATCATGGCTTTCGCTTAACTCAACTATAATTACTCTACATAGACTCTCCAACTGCCTTTGCCTAACTGTTGCCTTTGACTACTTATGACTTAGTTTCTTCAGCTTCAATTAGTAATCCAACCATGCCTAATCTATCCTCAACACTTGCTAAAACAGAGTATCAACCAAAAAGGAAGAAAACACAGTTGATGACAAATTTCTACTCAACCTCCTTCTACTCGCTGCTGCAGCGTTTGCAGATTTTTCTTATTAAGTTTTAATGCTGCACGCGCTACTAAATGAAATTTCAATTTCGTAATGGAAAAGGACCCGCCCACCTGCTACTGCGGAGGACTCACCTGCGTATCGTTGGTGACCAGCTCGAGCGTATAGCCCGGCAGCAGCTGTTTGCGGTTGATATGCTCCACGGCCATTGTGGCCGCGCCCAGCTCGCTAAGTCCGTCAGGGCGTGGGCCGCGCTTGGTGGACAGCTCGAAAAGTCCGAGGAGCACAATTTTGCCATGATTGCGCTGTATTTCCGCATGGGACATGCGACGTTCGCTCTCAAACACCTGGTTAACCTTCAAATAGCGCTGCTGCTGCCAGCTGCTCAGATTCGTGCCCATTCCCGCATTGGCCGTAATCGTTGGTAAATTACTCTGCGAATTGAGACGCTGTCGTCGCTTGACTTTCCGCCGTTTGCTCCGCCACTTGTCAGCGAGCGTGGGGGCATAGCTTTCAATGGCCACACCTGGCAGCGTTTCCAATGACTGCACCGACTGCACTGGCCGCACTGGCAGTGTGCGTAAGAGCTGCAGCTCTGCCGATGATTCCATGCCGGCGGCATCTCTGCTACAACCAGCCAGACCCAGCGCCAGCAGCATGGCCAGCATCAGAAGCCACTGGCTCGTTGGGCTACCGTGAATTATGCGCATCCCGTTTGGCAAAATGGCCATTGGCCCATTAATCAGCACAGCATTTGAATTCGCTATCTCGCACGGATGTACGTGGCAATAAACAATGCTTGTGCAGGCTCCTTTGATATATATATATATATATAAATGTATATGTAGATGTGCGTGTGTGTGTCCGTTTATCTATTGCTGCTTTATTCAACTGCCTGCTCTGGTGTTTTTGGCGTCAATTTTATCGCCTTTTTATTGGCCTCACTTTTGGTCTCGTTTCGTTCGCCTGGCCATTTGCCTGGCTCCCATTATCTGTTCTCGCACTGGGCACACACTGTAAAGCAAAATAGCTCATAAAAATATGCACTCATTTCATTGGCCACCTTCCTCTCTCTCACTCTCTCTCTCTGTCCACTTTTGTCACTCCACAAAATGGACCGACTTGCAAATGAACAAAACTGAGAAAAAAATACAAACGAAACAATAAACGCCAGCAGCCAATTGCCAGTTTGGGGCCAGTTGGCAGTTGAGAAAGGATTAAGTCTTCGATGAAATGAAAACAGCCGCTCACCACACACCACACACCAAACACAAACACACACACACACACACATAGATATAGCGGCTTACACACACACACACACGTGGCTATCAAGGCTATCTCGTCAAATGCTAAAGCCATAGACTTTTGTTGAGATTGTTACGTAGCCTTTGTTGCTGCTGCCATTTATGCCCTTATAAATGGGCACTTTAGCTTTGTCATGAGAGTTGTAGAGCATATAAAAATCATAATTTGATATTAAATTAGCAATATAGAAGATTGTGTAGTGCTGTATTGTCTGGCTAGACTTAAGTTCACTGTTTTCATTAAAGTTGGACGTCATTTGGATCAAATGATTCAAACTTGTTGCTATATATAATATGCGTATTTATATAGATTTATATAGAAATTCTCCTAAAAATATGAATATTTTTCTGTTCTATTTACAATCTAAGATGACAAGCCCCCTCATTAAGAGATTTATGTATTCTCTTTAAATTTAAAGTAGTCAGCTGCATTTGAAAATGAACGACTCTCTATAAATTTGATCGATATTTATCGAATCGAATGCTATCGACTTTTCAGAGGCACAATATATACTTTTTATCAGTTCACTTTTGAGATACACAATATTTACTATTATAAGCAGTAAATATTGTGTATCTGGAGTCAATAGCACATCCAGTTATTATTCGATAAATTATCTGAAAAAGTGTATGAAAAGTGAATAGCTCAGCTTACTCTTCCACTGCTGATCTAGAATGCATTTGATAGCTATTACATAGTCTTAACCTCAATGTACACTTCTTCTACACCTTTCCCAACGGCTGTTGAGTCTTTTAGTCCTGTGCATTTTCAACTATTTAACATTTGTTTTCCACACAAATGCATAGGCCATTCAGTGCAGACGTCTAGTGAGAGCTCAGCTCTTGCCGTGTGGCTTGCGGTGCGTCGGCCTTTGAGAGCTGCTTCCTTTGCTGCATGGCTGCCTGCTTGTAAGATTGCCAGGAATGCACAATGTTTGTGGCTTAGATCTCCATGGTAGCAGCAACAACCGAGCGTGTGTTGTATTGGCTCAATCCTTTAGCCCTCTGCTAAAATTTCTATTGTTGCATAGTTGCAAGTGCTGCAAAGCTAATTGAACTAAAAGTGATTTGTCTACAGTACAGTGAGCTCAGATTGCACATCATATACTTCGGCAGTTAAACAAAACTATAGCCAGCTATATGTCCTATAAACAATTCACCCAACCCAACCAAGGCAGACCCTCAACTTAAGATGATTTTCTGTTCAGAAAAGGTTAAACTAAAAAAAAAGAAATTGTTTTGTTCTCTTCTAAAATTTAAAAACTTTTTTTCAATTAAATTAAAACTAATTTGTTGTTATTCTTTTGTTGTTTTCTCGGACATTGCTCTAACGACATTTGAGGATTCTTTTGTCTTAACTGAATGGAAATTTTATCAGTCAAATTAATTTCGTATGACTTTTTAAGTATCTAATTAACAATTAAACTAAGTAAAGGGGTAAAAAAATTTAACTTAATTCTGTTTAAAATTAAGCACAGCTCAAATCTAGATGATTTCACAATTCCTTATCTGCTTCTAGCTGAGCTGACGCGATTTGTATGCCTTTTAATAAGGTAAAAGTTAGAAAAGGTTAGGATAGTCACCCTGTGTATTTTGTGTCTAAGAGGTCTTTAATTAAGGTTCTGGGCGGGTATTCACCTTTGTACATGGAGGGGTCGCTAAGAGGCCTTTGGTAAACCTTTCACTAGATTTGACTTCAGTAAGGTCACTGAAAGGCATTTACCCAAACTTTTTCCCAGCTTTGAACCCAGTTAGTTCACTAAGTGGCTTTTAGCTGAGCGCTCATCTACTACCGAAGGATTCAAACCCCAATTTTCCATTGTTCTCTTATTAAAGACTGCCCTCAATAGTTTCTAAAGATCTAATTGCGAAAATTCCATAAACTATTTTAACGGCAATTACTGTCTTTTGCAAGTGTATTTAATTTTCGACTATTAACATGGCTTTGTCTCAATTTTTTTGTCAGTTGCTGCTGGTGCCGTCGATGCTGGGCATTGCCAACTGGCAGTTGCCAGTTTGCCAGTTGGCCATTGCCATTATTTTTTATGCTAATGGCAAAACATTTTGCGCTTTCATTTGGAGGCTTTTGGGCTACTTTTGAGCATCACGCGCCACAGATTTCAGTGTATGCACGTATGCATAATTGTTTCGAGATTACTAAAGCACACACACACACACTCACACATACACACGCATACATTCCGGCACATACACACGCTCGTCCAACTCATCGTCGCCTTGCGTTGCGTTTCGTTTCGCTTAGGTTTTCGAGCAAAAGTGAAACGCGCACTTTTTGCCGTGTCCTTAAAATAACTTTTTGGCCCATTTTGTTTCTTGGCTTTTGTTTTCGTTGGTTTCGTTAGGTTCGCATTGCATGTTGGCGCCCAGCAAAGGGGACGGCAACGGGGGCGGCTTCGTTGAGAAGACTTTAATGCACAGGCAGTCGAACGGCGCTAAAGTTTTCGTAACTTGACATTTGCCCCACTGTGCCAGCCAGTCAACCACCTAGCCACCCGCCTGGTGGTGCATGTCAGCGGGCTACTTGTAGTTACATTTCATACATTTTACATTTTTATTTTATGCTTTCTGGTCTTTCTATTATTCTGCCATATTTCACAATTGTTTATGGCCATGCAAGCGTGTGAGTTAACCATACACACGCGCAACCACATGCTCACACACACACGTGCACCCGCACACCCCTCAGCCGCTGGCTGTTGTTGTTGTGCTTGACATAAATTATGCAAAATGCTGCCTGCATTTGTAATTGTGATTACATTTTTTTTAGCTTCACTGATGTGTGCGTGTCGCTTGTGCAGTTCGTTGGCATTTCTTGCAGGCAAAGCACGAAGGCAGCTGCTCGGGATTGAGCTGCCCAAGTGCATTCTTATGCACTTGAATCTGCTGAATAGTTGATGTGATTTGTTATGCACGTTTTTTTTGCCGTTGCTTATACTTGGCCAAACACATAGAGACACACAAAAGCACATCTATTATTTTAGCTAGGCCAATAGCAAAACACAAAAACCGGATTTACACAGGGATAACCACAAAATAAAATAATGCCACAAATAAACAGCAAATATAATATAGATAAATATAAATCTATATATATATTGTATATTAAATCAGATTCTTTTTGAGATTTTCAAGTGACCTCATGTCTCGTTGTGGCAGTTCTTTGGCATAATATTTAGTTTCAAGTACTTCTGCATACTTGAGCAGCAGAGAGAGCACAGAAAGATACGTTTCAACTTTTCTGCTGCTGGGACACTGCATTCAGTTCTTAAACTTTAAGTGAAAGCGTTTTGCTTACAAGCGATATAGAAGCATTTTAAAAATGGGTCTTCAAAATATGCTTTCAGCTTATAATCTTATTTGATCTTATCTGAAATGGGTTTTAAGCTTTATTGCATCATTGATATGTCAGAGATATCTACATTTAACACATAGACTACGACAAGGATTTCCTGACTGTTGTAGGTTGAGGCTTTTTTAAATGGTAGTCAAATTTTTAGTAGAAAAAAAGAGATTGAAATCCAAGGTTACAGAAGCACATTTGATTTATGAATATGATGGAATCCTGATAGATATGAGATTGAGAAGCTTAAATAAAGAAAGAATAGATGCATATTAGTAATTAGTTTTATACTCATTCACGAAGCGAAATGAGTATATTGCTATGTCCGTCTGCCCTGTTGACTGGAAATTAATGCCACCAGAAAAAATATTACTTAAGATGCTAGAGACTTAAAATTACGAATGTGAACTCGTGTAGACAACTACTCAGTTACTATGGACATCCTCTATTAATTCATTATAATTATATATATATATGTCTCTTGTCCCTTTGACAGAAATTTTATCTTGCAAAGATTAGGAGATATAGCTTAAAAATTTGACAGTTATGTTACTGCAGACTCCCTGTGGGGAATTGTTAAAAATTAATTAAATGTTTTTTTATAGTAAATAAATATTATGCAGTCGATGGCATCTAACGGCATCATTTTTATTATTTTTGTGATTTAAGTATTAATTGTTCCGCTCTGGCAGCTTTAAGCTGTATAAGTTCGGCATAATAAACAGAGTGTCTAAATTATATACATGCATACATTAATATATTTAAGAAACTCTTCTATCTAATGTCATTAATGTTATTTTTATGTTTAGCTAAAACTGTAAATGACCCCAGTCGCAAAGCTCACACTTAAGTATTCTAGACTGACCCAAAAACTATGCTACATAAATTGTTGCCGCATAGTTGCGAAGTGTATTGTGCGGCAAGATTAATGGGATGGTCGAAGCATATGTATGTGTGGAAAATATATAATATTGCAAATTGCCAAACGACATAGAAA